GAAAGAACCATAAAATTATAAACTGAAGAGAATACTCCTCCATGCTTTTGGCAAGGCACCATAAGCCTCTCAGTAAACATTCAAGTTAAATTGAATGATGATGTTCCTATGTTTAAATTCCATAAACTATCGTATGGTTTATAAAAAGCCAGAAGTAGAAAAGCATAAAACAGTTACTAGTTTTTGTAACGTACGTTTATACGACAGGTATGTTAAAAGGTAAATGTTTAGTCTAGAATATTTTTCATAGCACTTAATCAAGCAATTTATGTTATTACTCTTGATTCATTAGCTTATAAAATCATTTATTGTAGTGCATACTTTTTTCCCTTGGAAAAGGCGTTTATTTTCAGAGTCCACCATTGCTTTTATAAGTATGTCTATCTTTTTTTCCTGCTTGGCTTTAGCAACTGTTAAAGTTGATTCTACAGATTTCCTACCCTCCCTTTTCCTCAATTTTTTTACAAGGTAGATGAAAGAAAAATAAAAGCTTTCCATTAGATTTAACTGTTCACTTTGTCCGTGTCAATCCCTCCAAGTATCTTAAAAGCTCAGAGCCCCTCTGTAACCTGAGACTCATCAGCTGATTATGGCATTCACCTTCTTTTGGGCTTTAAACCTACTCAAAAGTCATCCTCACTGATATTTACAGTTCTACAAAAGGAATTCCAATACAGGTAGTTGAAAGTTACTTTTTCTGGAAGGATTGTCCAAGAAACAGGTGAAAAAGAGAAAATGTATGTTTTGGGGGGTATCCATGATAAGGAAGAATAAATGGTTTTTCAGATCACTGATAAATTGTGACCAATACAAAACTGATGCTTGGTCTGTTAACTGGTTCTTAGGAGTATAATTTGAACTGGCTCTTTAGCAAGTCATTGCCATTGAGCACAACAGAACAAGGAAAAGTGGCTAGTCTTTGGGAATATAGGGTGGCTTTGAGGAGTATGTTTTATAGTCACCATGTTTCAAAATATCTTGCTCTTCATTTGTCTGGAGTATAAGAAGTTACTAACAGCTGTTTGAAATCATCTAGGTGGTGGTGCTGGCTCTGATGACTGTGGAGCTGTTTGGCATGATGGGTCTAATTGGAATAAAGCTGAGTGCAGTGCCTGTGGTTATTCTGATTGCTTCTGTTGGCATTGGCGTGGAATTCACTGTTCACGTTGCTCTGGTACGTAAAATCAGGAAGCATTTTCAAAATATTTTAAAATAAAATGGTGGCAGTGTTAGGATCACAAATTGTTACTTAGTCTCCTAAGTCAGTGACATGATTCTCAGAAGGAAATTGGTCACAAACAGTTTTGGGTGCCATATGGTTTGTCTTGATAGAGCAGAGTTGATCTTGATGCAGTAGTTCCTAACTATTGAGTCAGTCTCCCAGGATACAAGAGGGGATACATTACCTATGGTATCTAGTTGTCTGAGTGATGGAAATACATAGAGAAAGCAGAGCTCTTAATGCACCTCACTTCAGACCAGACTCTTCTGATCCTTGTCTGCAGCTTCACTGTTGTTGCCTTGGTGCAATGTAGCTGTTTGTTCCCTCTTGCATGTAGATTCTGTATCTTGTGGAAGAGAAGCCTTTAAAGGAGATTTTCAAAATCACATATAGTGTAATTTGATCTCTCTGGACCACTAAAGTTTGAATGTATTTGGATTAATTTTCTACCTGGAAAATCTGCACCTTCTTTTCAGAACCCATCAGCTATTAATAGTGGGCGCAAACATGCGGTCTCTAGGAAAAAAGTTTTCCAATGTGATGAGGAGGAGCAGAGAGGGGGAAAAAAGTGTGTTTTATCTAAAGATTTTCAACATTTTCAAGGTTAACTGTCCAAATTCAGAGTGCACCTACTCACCCAGCTTAGTCAACCTGATGTGCAACAATGCATAGAAAAAACAGTGCGCTTACAAGGGGGCAGTTTTGGCTGTTCAAGATACGCGAAACTCATCTTGCTTTATTTGGTGACAAAGAATAGAGTAAAGGGGTATTCTTCTGTGCTCACATTTGACAATGTCAGCGCTGACCTTTCCAACACTTCACACGTTCAGCGTAAGTCATTTTCCTATAAGGTTGTTCTAATTGATATTTCAGAATAGTTTAAGAATATAATTGTCTCCATGGGTTTGAATTTTACTGTATTAAAAAGTAGGAAAGGATGAGTGGTCAATGATGTATTATTTCAGGGAGGAGGTGCTCGTAGTCTACTATAATCTCTAGTACATTAGTACAGTTCAATCCAAAAAGAAGTGAAGGGAGAGGGCTGGAAAGTGGTGGTGAGATTGGATAGGAATGCAATGGGCCTTTTAGACTTAAAAGGACAACTGGTAGACTGCTAAGGGGATCTGGTGACAGTGAAAGAGAGAGAACTAACTGGGATCTTAGCACAGTAGAAATGGCCAAATACTGGGAACATGCTGTAGATGATGTACAGAGTTGGGGCACATAAAGTGGCAGGATGGAAAGAATAATTTTAAGAAAAATCGTAGGGGAAGTAGGGTATGGTTAAAGAGGAGTAAACTAGATCCCTGAAGCGGTGATATCTTTTTTCCCCCTACTGCTACAGATAATTAGGCTTTTGGAGGTAAACCTGTTTGCTAGGACTTGCAGTAGTTTGGGAAGTGTCAGAAACTAATGGTGTACAAGAGGAAGAAAGGATGGATGGTTTCTTAGAATTGAAGATTTAAATCAGGAAAACTGGAATAAAAAAGGACAAAGCACTTACTTGTTTCTAAATGGGAAGAAACTAATGTAATTTACAGGACTTCATATATAGATACATATATATCTCTCTTTAAAAGTAAAAGTCACCTGTGGTTGAAGGTAAAATTCCAAGCAGACTGAAAAATGCATTTTTTTCACCATGACTGTGGAGTCAGAAACTTTCAAATGTAGGCTTTAAATAAAAGAATACGTGGTAGACCTCAAATGATAGCAGCAGTACTGACCTTCACAGAACTTCCTGCATGTAGACAGTCAAACCAGTGTTGCATAAACAAAAAAGGCAGTGCTGGAACTGTTGATACAAAACTTAATTGAACTTGTTTAAGAGTGATTCACGATCCACTTGTGGCTCAGTTCTCTGCTGTCGCTTGTGACTTGTGACCCCATTTTTTTAATTCTACAAATAAATTTTGAATGGATAGTAGACTCTTGTGTTATGCATCTTTTAGTTACACACACATACGTATGTTTATGTAACTTGTTAATATGTTTGTGGATCAGATCCCATAGCTCCCATTCATGTAAGTTGTCTCATTAACAGCTGCCTTTATCCTGAGGGGGTATTCTTTATCCATTTATGTATATGGGAATATAAAATGTCCTGGATACATTAATTTTCCATAGACCACTTCTAATCCCATACTGAAGAGGAATAATACATGGTTGGGCTACCTACAGAAGCAAGGATTGGGAATCTCACTCCTCATGTACCCATTTTTGATTTGCTTGTCCAACCAAATAACTTTTCAATGTGTTGACTGATTTCACCCAAAATTTGTCAGATAAGTGAAAATAAGCCGCTAGAGAAGAGAGACTTAAATTCCAGGACCAAGAAGAAGATAGCTGCTTGAGCTCGTATCTTAATAGGCAGTAGAGGATTTGTTGAAGAGAGCACCCTTATAAATCGCAGGAAGATCAACCAGGTTCTTGTCTTCTTAAACTGTTAAGTCATACAGAGAAGACAAATTCGTATGAAACACCACCATTTCAGTTTTCTTGATACAGCTTGTTCACTAAGGAGTTGGAGGAAGACAGCCATTTTACTAGTCATACTGTTGCTCAGGCACTACCGTGTTCAGCGCTATTTCTAAGGCTATTTTATATGTATAGGCCTGCTAGCTTTGAAGTAGTAGAAGTAGCAAAAACATTTATTTTGAGGGAAATGGAAGTGTTAAAAAACCCCCACAATCTAGTGTTACTTCATACCAGTCCTGCTGAGCGTGCCGACAACTTCCCATCAGTTGGGCGCTTACTGTGTGTAACATCTGATGGTCTGGAGCCTCGGGCCAGTGAGAAGAAATGCACTGTGCCAATGGACGCTTCTGTGTAAAGGGACAGAAGGACCTGATGTGCTATAAACACTGCTCTACCTCTCACCGTGTACCTGAGCTGAAGCTACCAGTCCTTGGTTTGTGGTAATTGCATGGGAAAGCCTGCACCAGTATTGGCTGTTTTTACAGCAAACTTCTCATGGTAGGCATGGAAGCCGTGGCCCCACAAGAATTAGAGGAGTAGCCCTGTAATTTTGACACCTGAAGTGCTTTCACCATGAAGTTAATTCTTTGCAGGTGGAAATAAGCAAAGCTGGAGACAAAAGCCTGCTGATGCAAGCAGGCATTGTTTCCAAAACTATTACTATGGTCTGACTCTGTAATCGGTGCGTGCTCCGGTCGTGTGACTTCAGCAGCAGCTATGTGGTATGACTGCAGAACCGGTCCTTCTCTTGAAGGTTAGCCAGCTGTAGGGATGCTTTCATAAACTGTAGCTCCAAGTGATGAACTGGTGAAAAACTGTGCATGCTATGAGGGAGGCTGTTTGGAAGGTTGTGTGCATCTGCCTAATGAAGTGGATTTCGTTGTTTTACAGGCATTTTTAACGGCCATAGGAGACAGGAACCATAGGGCTGTCCTTGCACTGGAACACATGTTTGCGCCAGTGCTGGATGGGGCCGTGTCCACTCTGCTTGGAGTGTTAATGCTTGCAGGATCAGAATTTGATTTTATTGTCAGGTAAAGCATTTGTGTGTGTGTGTCTTTGACTTTCTTTTTAAAATAAAAATAAGTATGCTTTTAATTTTTAGTCACTTCAGCGTATCTGTCATTTTATTACTATGCATGGTGTGTCAAGCATGCTGACGTCATGGTCCTGCTTTCCCTCTGTTTTATTAACTCCTTGTTACATGCTAGACACGGTAGTGTTTCCATTGCTGGTATTAAAATCTGTTCCAGGAAAATCTGACACCCAGCGTGAAAGAACACAAAAATGGCCCTCTTTAGCAAAGTTTGCTAATTCTGGGTTTGAGTCAGTTCAAAGCATCTAGTATTGTCCAGTATTAGCTGGGTTTGACCTTTAACCTTTAGGTCCTCCAGACTTCTTGTATGCATAACAATTTGCGTGCAAAGGACACATGAACCTACAAATGTGCTGCAAGTGACTCTCTCTGGGCCTCCTCTTTCTATCGTTATGTGAGGTTTACAGCGATGTATAACAGGGAGAGGAAAAAAAACCCTGTTTGGGAGCTGGGGAACCATAAGTATGAACACAGAACTTCATACTAAAATTTTGTAAAGCAAAGCCTGAAGGCCCTTCTGTTTAGAACTGCAGGCAGACTGTTTCTTGTGAATTTAATTAAGAATGTGAATTCGTCAAGTATGAGAGGAAAGCAAGTTTTTCGTTGAGGGGAATTTGAGAAGTGCAGTGAAACAGATCCTATTCTATTCCAAACAACCTGTGGAGCTCTGTAAAATGGCTAATCTTAGAAGTAACACAGGTTCTTTGTGGCAAACTACAGCATGAAAAAAAATAATCCAAGCCCTAAAATGGAACTGAGGTAGAACTGGGCCAAATAAAAATGCTCTGAAAGATGATTTAACTACTTAGGTAGACATAAGCTGGATAGATGACTAGACTTAGCTGACATCCATTTCACAACAAGAACAACAAAATGTCAGAGGCAGGAACTGAGAGAATGGCTGCTAAATCTCATCAAGATTTTTTGTTTATGTATGTAAGAGATTTGAAGAAAACAGGCAGTTTGCAGTTAGACCTCATGAAAGCTACATGAGGATTATTACTATACAGATATTGCATGTCCTGAAATAGAATTTCTGGGTTTTTTTCCCCAAGTCAGTATTTTTTACTTCATTGGCGTTGAAGAAATAAGGTAGAATTACTCTTTTAGGACCTGATCTTGTAAGGGTTGGAACACTTTGACATACAGGTTACTTACAGATGTAACCTAAAGTTACAGGAGTACATTCGGTGTGCTACTTTCCTACTTAACAGACGATATTTTGGCCAGCATATTTTTGTGTCATAGCAAATGGAAGATTGTAGCAGCCCTTCACACCAAATTTGGATTGGATGTTCTCTCAGTTTATAAAATGAGCCTTTCAACTTTTCAACTTACGTTATTTTACTTTTTTTGGCCATCAGTTTCTCGTTTTCTAGCACAATCTGACTTTAGTTTGCCTTGTTTAAAAAATAAAATAAAATAAACTATGTGAGCCTGAGCATTGTTATAGTGGGTGAAGAAGATCCCAAACTTCCGGAAAGCGATAGATTAGTCCAACAATGTGGAAGATTAAGTAAATTAACAGACATTGTATACACCAAGTGGTCAGAGCTATAATCCTCCTGTTTATCCTAGCGTTAGATGGATGAGATGCAAATGTTTTTAATGCCTGTTGTTGATCTGTCTCCCAGTATAAAGTTCTGATGGTTTATGTTAGTAGAGTAGACTGGCTTGCTGATTTTTACTAATGCAGATCAGAAATTCCCAAATGTTTACAATAGCAGGATATTTGTAGTTTTACAGGAGTCTGATATATTTGATCAGATGTGGAAACAGGGAGGCAGTAAAGTTTGTTGCCAGCTAGACAATGTAATCAGCAGACCCATTAGTAGCAAATTTGCCCTCCGTTCTTCTCCTTTGCCTTCTCCAGGAATTTACCAAGACTGAGTCGTTGAAATCATTAGTTACAACGCAGTCTTAAGTTTAGTCAGAGCCCCAGCTGTGCCGAATACCAACTAGCAAGGCTTTCCTTTTACTGACAGGTTTACCTTGGTATTCATGAAGGATCCCAGACCTTAGCCCTCAGTGGTGGGAAAGGACAACCACTTGTGCACTTTCCTCTTCTTCCATAGTACTTCGGCCTTTATGTTTGAATTGGCTGACGCAAAACAAGAGTATTCAGAGATGCTAAATTGTTCAACAAAAGATTAGCCTGCAATGCAGCTCTGCCATTGTGGAGTGCTCTTACTCAGTACAATGCTGAAGCTTACTATAGAATGGGCAGCATTTTCTTTGCAGAAAGCGGGTTCCTGTGTTGTAAAAAGGTTGCAATTCGAGCTATTTGGTAAAACTGGAACTCACAGAATTCTAGGCGGAAAGTTGTGATTAATGAACAGCAAGGGAAACCCTTACCTGATACATTGGAGATTTAATTAGAGATTCTGCTGTAAGATGCAGAAGCATTTCACAGTGGATTAGCTGCTGGGAGAAGAGGGCTTCTTTTCCTTCTAGGCCAAATTGTTTAAATTCTACACCCTTCACTTCATTTGTTTGCTTCTGCTGGGTTTTCACTAATGGGGGCCCCTTTTCATTGTATTTGTGCTTTCAATCCATTCAGCTATTCACTGCACATTCCATATTTTTGTGTTTGTGTAACACATTCATAAATAACATTACATGCTTCCAGATTCTGGGAAATTAACAAATGTAATTTTTTTTCTTTCCTTTATCAACTAACACTTTGGGTTGTGGAATGTAGCTTCTCTAATTCAAAAGGTAAAAAACCCTATATCTATATATGGAAAGTGATATAATTATTTAGTACAACATTAGCAATATTTTAGACTTAATTTAGTATATGTATTATTTTAACGTATTTAGGAGTGATTAGTAATCCCTTATTTCTAACAATATTTGTGGCTATTCTCTCCCCCAAACCCCTTAAACCCTACTTCAGGTATTTCTTTGCTGTTCTGGCAATCTTAACCATTCTTGGAGTTCTCAATGGATTGGTGCTGCTTCCTGTTCTGCTGTCATTCTTTGGACCATACCCTGAGGTCAGTAAAATTAATGGTGAACAGAAGAAATAATACTATCTCTGCACCCTTGCCCCCACATCACCCCCCTTTTTTTAGAAACTCTTTATTTTTTAAATTCTCTTGGATTTTTTTTAGTTTTTAAGTTTCTTGCTCTAGTGTTTGGGGTTTTTTTAATCTTTATTAAATGTGCTGTTTGTCATTTAGTTGATAGTCTTCTACTTATATTTTTAAAGGTTTTTTAGTAAGTATTGTTTTAGAGGCTGCAATCAGCAAACTTGATACAAGTGTAGGATCATTTATGCTTTTAAAAGCATAATGTGATATGCAAACTAGTCTGTAAAATAAGGATATTCCCCAATATTTTGTAACAGACAGTTCGTTTTGTACACATACCTTCTTCTTTCCTACCTCACTGCCTCTGTTGCTTTCCTCAAAATATTTAACTGAGCAGACCACCAGGAAGGCCTGTGTGGACCAACATGCACCAGTGGTGGTCCACAGACCACACCTTGATAACCATGAACGGTCTGCCAGAAGGTCCCCCCTATACAGTCACCCCTCCCTGCTGTATGCTCTTGGCTCAGGCAACATTTTTGACGGGTGGAAGGCTTCACTTAGATGTTGATGACTTTACAGTATAAAGCCCAAGTCCAGCAAAAAAGGATTCATAGATACCACATTTGAATTTGGTTGTTGATTATTCATTACCTACTCTATAGTTAACACAATTACTGTGTTATATAGGGCTATCTTTATCACATATTAGTAGAACCAGTGTGCTATGCGTCAACGTGTCTATATATATGTATGTGTACATATATATACAAGAATAAATGTATGTATGTACATATATGTACATATATGTACAAGAATAAAGCACAAGGTATGTATACGGCACTAGTAATATTTCAGAAGGTTTTTTTTTTTTTTTAGTATTACTAAAACAGTTTTGACAACCGTGTGTAATCTTTTGTATTCCTGACAGTATACATCACCTGTCCCTTACTGAGGCAATGTATGTGTGCATATGTAATTACCATGAACATTGCTATTATGTGTGTGTCCATCTCTCTTTGCAAATAGACACTGAAATATACTATACATACACATTTGTGGTGATTTTACGAATTCACTGTTAACGTATGCTGAAGGGGGAGGGAAGTCCGTGTATTATTTTTGTATTTATAAGTGCATGCACACACACGCATACGTAAACACTTCTGAGACAGTGATACCTGGAAGAATCTGTGTAATCCTGTTTACATACATATCCACAGATGGAGATCATGTCTCTTTTTCTTTCATCAGTTTCTTCAGTTCAGTATAAATGTTCATCAGAAAACTGGTACTAAGGTTCTCGTGGCATGGGAGGGTGTATTTGGCAGAACAATTGTGTCAAGCACTAATGACTAAAAGAGTAATGCTAATTGAACGTTACTGAATGCATTATCAGGTTTCTCCAGCCAATGGACGAAACAGATTGCCCACACCATCTCCTGAGCCACCCCCCAGCATCGTGAGGTTTGCACTGCCGCCCGGGCACACAAATAACGGGTCAGATTCCTCTGATTCGGAGTACAGCTCTCAAACCACAGTGTCCGGCATCAGTGAAGAGCTTCATCAGTATGAGGCCACCCACGGCCCTGGGGCACCAGCCCATCAAGTAATAGTGGAAGCTACTGAGAATCCTGTCTTTGCAAGATCCACTGTAAGTAGCTCGCATATTGACTGGCAGGAGGGCAAGAAGCGTGTTTGGGGTTTTTCTATTTAAATCTATTTATTTTTGTGGAAAAAATTTTCCACAGATTTTATTTTTGTGGGAAAAATCATATTTCTGGCTGATCGTGCTTTGTGAGTTTGTGCCAAAACTTGTAAGCAGGGAGTGAAAGCTTTCCTCATCCTCTCCTTTAGAATCAGGCTGGGGGTAAAATGATGGTAGGAAAGCAGAGGTCTTTGGCATGTGTAACTGCTGTTACATCATATTGGCACCAGCCACAAGAGAGAGCTCTCAGTCTGTCTGATGACTGTTCTGAGAGAGAACGGGGAGAGATTAAAAGATCCAGACCTCTTCCACACAGCTCCATGTGGATCACCATCTCATATACCTCTCTCTGACAGCACATTGAGAAAGATTGATAGAGCCAGAAGAATTCAAGGTTGTACCAAATCTTGGGCCTGTTGCATCTTGCTACTGGATTGGCATAACTGCAATTTCAAAGGAAAGTGAAAAGCGCTGTCTCCTACCCCTGCTGATGCCGCATGCTGAGCTGCAATGCGGATCTGTTTTTGTTCAGCAGAGGCCTAGAAATAGGTACAAGCACAGCCACATTTGAAGTTGGTCACGGTTTATTGACTGATGCGGCTGCTGCGCTTCACGCTTTTTACAGAAATCAGAAAACAGATTCCTACAGTCTACACAAACTACCCTACTAATATCCTGTGTATGTACCCTGCATGGAATAGAGCCTTTCCCAAATGCCTGCAATTCTGCTCATTGAACGAGTTAAGATCAAGTGCTTGTCACCCATCCCTTTGAAAAGATGGATCAGTATGTAGGAAGCTTACAATAATGTTTTCAGCTGTCATCCTGTGTTTTTCTGAAGGTATGCGTTCCAGGTTTTAATAACTTCAGACAAAAAACTATCTGGAAAAATCAACAGTTATCAGACTCCAGAACATCACCTTTGTAGAGTTAGGGCCAGGACAGCATTATTATAATTGTTCTCAGCGTAAAATATAAGCAAGCATAGTATTTGTTTGCCTCGCTTTGTCAGAGGCATAACCATGCATCTCTCTTGCAGGTGGTTCAGCCAGAGACAAGGCATCAGTCGAGTCCCAGACTACAGTCGAATCCAGAGTCCGGCACGCAGCAGGCGTGGCGTCAGGGCAGACAACCCAAACGGGAAGCAAGGGAAGGGCTGCGACCACCTCCTTACCGCCCTCGCAGGGACGCTTTTGAAATTTCTACTGAAGGGCATTCAGGACCTAGCAATAGGGATCGCTTGGGCCACAGGGCTCGTTCTCACCACGTGAGAAGCCCAGCGTTCGGTGCCGTGGGCGCCGCGGGACCAGCGTACTGCCAGCCGATCACTACTGTGACTGCCTCGGCTTCAGTGACTGTCGCTGTCCACCCTGCGGTGCACAGCCACAGCTCGCGGGGAGCGAGCTTTCCGTCCTACGAGGGACACCATGAAGCTGACCACGGGCCGTTTGAGGACCCCCACGTGCCTTTTAATGTGCGGTGTGAAAGAAGAAATTCTAAAGTAGAAGTTATAGAACTGCAAGATGTTGAATGTGAGGAGAGGATACCTGGCAACAGCTCACAGTAAGGTAGGTCCGTCTCCCGTAGCTGCAATTGCTTGTGCCAGGCAGTGGTGTGATGGAAAGAAAGGGGAAAGATGAAATTTGTCCGAGGTACCTTTCCTTCAGGTAGGTTTACTTACTGATCCCTGATCATCTTAAATCTGCTAACTGTGAGTATAGTACATTGTGCACTAGAAATCAGCTTGGGTAAGGTAGTACTTCCCAACACCGAGAAGTGACGGTGGGTTCAGACATGAGCTGCTTCCAAGAGCCTTGCAAAGTGGGTGAGTACCTGGTACGGTCCCAGCTTACCAGGTGGGGAAAATGAAGCAGAGATACTGTGTAACATCTTCAAAGCTGTGGGACTGCATTTGCTTTTGATGGGTCCTGTCTTCTGATCCCTGAATCAGGCATGTTCTAATACATCGTACAGAATGACATTGCCTAGGAGAGTGCAAAATCGCCAGCTACTTTACGGGTTGTTCTCTCTTGAGTAAAACTCCATCAAAGAATTTGAAGTCCGTAGTGAGGACGGAATCCCTCTGGCAGATGGGCTGAGAGGTGGGAAGGCCCCACTGTGCCTAGCACACTGCTGCGCGGCGGGGTGTCCCCTGCATTTTGGGTGGGGTGTTCAGAGACCCACCAAGTGAGCTCAGACGCTGGAGGAGTCGTGGGACCAATCTCTCCCTTTCCAGGGGCAGCTGCAGTGGCTATTGCAGAGTTGCGTAGGGGGGAGGTGGGCTGGCAGGGCACATAGCGTGTTCCTGTGAAACAACAGATACACCCAGGACGTCGTGAGACTTGATACCGAAATTGTACTCTGTCTTTAGGCTGGCAAGAGAAGGTTACAGGAAACAGTGCTGTTTAGAACAGATGGGATGCTGTAGCAGATGTTTGAGGAAGAATAAAGCTGTTCATTTTCTTGAAAATTTTCCATTGATTTTATGGGGAATACTTTGAAGGGGAGAACCCCAATTCAGTTTTTACCCTGAAAGCTTTTGGGGACTTGTGCCTGAGAAACCATTTCTCAACTATTTTAACTCTGTTTTTCTCTTTTGGGGGAAAGAGGAAGTGTAGAATAGTTACTTAGCTGTGGATCCCTGTTTTCTGTCTTTGCTTTTCAGAGCTGTTCAGTGACAGTTTGACCAGAGCAAGCCATTTTATTTTGGTTGTAGCACTATTTTACATGTATACACTTTCACACGTGCGCGCACACACGTTGAGAATTTTGATGGAAATTTTTTGATGACTCATAATAAAATCACATTCTAATTTATAAAATGTCTCTCCAAACATCTCAAAGTGCAAATAGACATGAATGCCTGTAGCCTCGCAGTCCAGAAATATGGCAAGTAATAGTATCCTCAGAATAAGGAAATACTTGTGCTCAGCTTTTTCAAGCTGAACTGCATGGTAATATGAGATTCTTAACTGTGCGCAGTATTCAGTGTAGCATATTTCTCCTTGACCTGTTCATTGATTTTGACTGAATTTGTCGCAGGTATCTAAAGCTGGAAATCCAGAAATTAAAGCATCTGCATTTTTTTAATTGGCATCAGTATTCCTTTCCCAGGAAATTCATGACTGAGATGAAAGCAGAGCCTGCATTTCCTGACTGCTAACTGTAACCGCAAGAATCACGAAATGAATTTTGGATTAGCTTGATTTGTTTATTTTTCTTGAACTTTAATGAATGTTTGTTTTTCTTTTCTCTTTACTTGTAAAGGGTAATAACTGAAGCAAAGAAGAGGCCAAAGATGGAAAACTGTATTTCCAGAACTGCTTGAAGAGAAGAACTGCTTGAAGTAGTAGAAGAGGACATGCTGCATCAGGACAACAGTTCACTGTTACTGTAACCTATTGTATTATTGTGTTAAATATTTCTTTAAGTATTTAAAAGATGTACACATATGTAATATACAAAAGAACAATGTAAAGTAGTATAATCTGGAGTCGTTTGCCTCTGGGCAATAGAATGGGGACAATATTGTGTGCGCTTTGTACTTTTTGTACATTGATCTCTGTGCCACAACTAAGCTTAATCTAGTTTTAAATTTCAGCATAAGTTGCTGCTGCTTAAATATTGTATAATTTACTTGTATAATTCTATGCAAATATTGCTTATGTAATAGGATTTTTTTTTTAAAGGTACATGTCTGTTTAAAATATTTTAAATTTGCGTATCACAACCCTGTGGTAGTGTGAAATGTTACTGTTAACTTTCAAACACGCTATGCGTGATAATTTTTAAAATAAGCAGATATGAAGAAAAGCAAGTTAATCTGGGAGGCTTAAATAGATTTAGCTATGTGCAGGTTTTGTTTTGCTGTGTGTACCCATGCGTGCATCTGGAAGTGTGCATGCTTTTGTGTGTATTTTCCTGGTGTACTGTAGTTTCTCTTTTACTGTATGGTAACATTTAGTGGGCTTATAAACCCACTGATGCTGATGTGAGTCTGGCTTTCCCTGATAGTAGGCACTAGTGAAAACTGTGTTGGAGTTTACCAACATACACCATAGACTGCCATCATCAAAGGCCCAACTAAATAGAAGAGAAGACAGGGAGTTGAGGTTTGGGGTTGTGGTTCAGTTTCTCACACTTTTAATGACTTGGTTCACGTGACTTTGGTCAAGTCACTTAACTGCCCCATGCCTCAGTTTCTCATTCTGTAAAATGGGTATAATTACACTTACCTACCTCCCAGGAATGTTGTGAGGCTTAATTACTGTTCATGTAGTGATTTGGGGTTTTTTTCTTTTTCTTTTTCTTTTTTTTTTTTTTGTGCAAAAGGTGCCAGGTAAGTGCAAACACTATAACCATTATTTTTTTCACTTCCAAAGGTGCTGGATATTGAGAGGTGCTGGTGGTTATAGAAATTCAAGGAGCATATGCCTTATTTTGATACTGATACTGTTAACTATGAGTGGCATTAGAAGCTGGATAATTGAGTTGTTTGATGGTGAGCCACAGCTCAGCTGTGTCTTTACCGTGTTGAAAGCAGTATCTTTGGTCACCTTATTTTTATGGCAGGAAGGAAGTTAATAGTAAGTGATAAAAATCAAATGGAAGGATAAAAAAAAAATCTATTTTCACTTTTTAAATATAAATGGGCTTCTGATGGGTCCAGGACTGTAATGATACGTAAGGCCTGGGGTATTCTTTTCTCTATTGTTTGTGTTTTCCCATGCTGCATTGGCACTTTTAATTAAAACAGCTAAACTGGGATCTCTTTGCGAAACTAATTTAGCTTTTTGTATTATTATTTTTAAACTAAAGGGGGATTGCTGCAGGTGAAGGGTCTGAAAAAACACTACAATCTGTGTTCCAGCTGGAAACAAACCCTAAGAAAGGAGAACATTAATTTAAAATAATAGAACAGAAGTTTTCATTATCTCTGTCTTCCTCTTTCTTCACCTTTTTTTCTGCCCTTCTCCAAGCTGTTTTTTAGAGCAGGTAGATGTTCAATTGTATATTCAGAGCCAAACAAACGCAGCCAATATTCAGTTTCTAAACACAGCAGTGGTGGGGCTTTTCTTTAATGCCTGAACAGCAGCAGCCAAGTCTTTGATGGGACGGTGTTTTTCTCCAGTGGCTTCAGGGAATCTATCTTTGCCCGCAGACCTTGCCAGCATAACGAATGGGGATAATTAGTATGCACAAATTTCCATGCCTTTTTTGCTCACTTGAAAACACTTTGATATGAGGCACTTGTTTACAGATCTCCAATGTGAACGCTCAAAGAGCAGGTGGTGAGAGCCTGGTGTCATTCCCGTGATACATAAGCTACTGTTTCAGTGCACACTAAGGGTTAATGTCGCAACTGCCTACTGGTCCAGTTCACTGTTTTAACGTGAAAACTCTTAATGACAAAAAGACGAGGGGCCCCAATTTAGCACTAGCAGCATCGTGACCTCAGATCATACGAACTCTGCAACAAACCTGTATGATACTAATTGGAAGCTACCTTCCAGCGCCAAGCGTGTGC